GAGGTCCGGACCTCTAGGGGTAGCTGATTCCACAGGGTCGGAGCAGCCACAGAGAAGGCTCTCCTCCGAGGCCCCGCCAGCCAACACTGTCCGGCTGATGGCGTCCTAAGGAGGCCCACCCTGTGGGATCTTATCGGCGGTTGGGAGGTATGCGGCAGTAGGCAGATCTCGCAAATATGCTGGTCCTGAGCCATGTAGGGCTTTCAAGGTGATAACCAACACCTTGAATTGCATCCGGAGACCAATTGGCAGCCAGTGCAGCTCGCGGAGGACAGGTGGTAATATGGGTGTATCTCGGTACACCCAATATTGCTCGCGCGGCTGCATTCTGGACTAGCTGCAGTCTCCGAACGCTTCTCAAGGGTAGCCCCATGTAGAGCGCAGTGTCCTAGGGTGCCCCTCAGCACAAAGGGCCTCATCCAGAGGTCTCACTGCAGGGCAGTCCTGTGGACGCCCATTCACACCAACGCTGGAAGGATTTACTGTACACCTGATCAACGGACCAAGACGTTTTAAATAGTAAAAACTTGAGTGAAGAAACAGACATGCAGCAGTAGGAAATCAATGAAGCTTGCTGAAGTCTCCCAGGTGAGGGGGGGGAGGGGGTTACATCAGAGTTTAATAACTTTGCTACGAGACAGATGCAGAACACCTGGGGACCATTTCAGAGCAAGTCTCGGTTCCCCTGCAGTGAGATGCAACTGGGTGGCGCAGGAGCTCTTGTGGGTGCCGATAGCCGTTGTTTTCCACGCCACCGTTGTTGTTTCTATGCTCCCTTTCGAGGGCATCTCGTTTTCTGAAGGTTTTCCCCCTTTGCTCTTCACAGGTTCTCCAATGCTTTTTCTTACTACGGCCTCGTCCTGCTGACCACCGAGCTTTTCCAAGCAGGAGACCTTTGCAGCTGTGAGTTCAAACAGAAAATACGCCCGGGATGATACACTCAGGCCAGGCCAAAGGGTTCTTCCGAGGGAAGACATTGGAGTTTCATGGTTGCCCTGACCCTCAGGGGGGACCTCAGTGGCCATCTATTCTGCCCTCCAGCAGCATCACCTCTTCATGCTGCTCTTTCCACCAGCTGCCGGTTTCCCATTCTTGGCGGCCATGTTTCTGATTCCCAGCTGATTCTCCAGTCCAGGCCACCATGTTTTAATAGCTGGCTGAGGAATTCTGGGAGTTGAAGTCTTAAAAGTTGTCAAGTATGGAGGGCCTGGCCTGGAGTTAATCCCCGAAGTTTCCACTAAACTAAGCGGATGCCCCCTCTGTCCTGTCCAGCAACAGATTGGGGACGATTCGTTCAATGGATGTTTCTACCTGGCCCCTCAGTTGAGGTCAAGAAGGACCATTGACAAGATGTCCTTTCAGCCAGTGGCCTGCTAGGATAGACAGCAGCCCCCCCCCCAATCTTCAATGTCTGGAAGGGCTAGTTGCATGAGAATTTCCCTGGGGGTTCCCTAAAATCTGTACTGGCTGGGCTGGTCACCCTGTGGGCATCTGGTGGCTCAAACTTGGTGATGGTCAAGTGGGGGGGAATCTGCCAACAGGGAGCAAAAGAGAACAACTGGGTCTCAGGGCACAAGGTTGGCTATCCAGCAGAGGGTGGGGGCTGAAGACCTCCATTCCTCCCCGTCCTCTCTCTCTCCTTCTCCACCCAAGTGTCCAACAGGAGGAAAACGGTGAAGGCCAAATGCAGCCTAGCCTGTGAATTTCTGACGGAGAAGGACTACATCGATCTGCTCTGGACCACCCTCTCAGAGTTCCCAGGTAGACCTCCGGAAGGGGGAAGGGATGCCCACGGGGGTCTGCAACTGGGGAAGGGGCAAGAGGTGGCACGATACCAGAACGAAAGGAGGAGCTTGCGTTGCGTTATGCTGACCCTCCTCTTGGTCCTTTTGGCCCCATGGTGGTCGGGAAGGAAGCGCTCAGGTATGAATCTGATGGGTCCCTGGCCCCCTATTCACACGCCCAATTAAAACTGACAGGTGCTGCCAACGTATTTTTAAGATTTATCTGCATTACCCAAGACGCTGAACACAATTTAAGAATAAATATTGGCCTCTGGAATTTTCCTTCTATCCCGCTTCTATTGAAATGGGGCTTATGGCCTTGAGGCCCCCACTTCACTCTCCCAGGTCACCCCAAAGTCTTTTGAGGAGAGCTTGTGAGGAGAAATGAGAGATCTTCCTTTGACGTCAGGGAAACCATCTAACGTGGGGCTGTCGCCCTGGAGATGCGGGCACTCCATGCAAATTCTGCTCTTAGAAATGGCTCCTGGGGAAGATAAGATGTCCTTTGACCTGAACTTGGCCAGCAAGTTCAGAAAAGTTGATAACCCCCCCCCCCAACCTGGAACCGGTGGCTGGCCGGACGCTCCCATGGGGAAGGAGACTCCATTTCTCCTGCAACTTGGAAGGTTTCACCCTCACACCCAGACCCTGGTGGTGGTGAAATGGCCTGAAGGCTCCTCTCCTGCTTCTCCTCCAGGGGTTCTGGTGACCTTGTGGGTGATTGACCGGATCGGCCGCAAGAAGACGATGGCCCTCTCCTTCCTGGTCTTCGCCTTCTGCAGCCTTTTGCTCTTCCTCTGTGTCGGGAGGTGAGACCAGGGGATCCAGAGAAGACCCACCCCGTTGAGGTTCCTCCATGGGGCTGCAAGGGGAAGCCCCCAGCCCATGGGCCGGGTCTCTGAAAGCAAGGCCCCCCCTCCTCTCTTGATACAGGAAGGTGCTCACCGTGCTGCTCTTCATCGCCAGGGCTTTTATTTCGGGAGGGTTCCAGGCCGCGTATGTTTACACCCCTGAGGTAAGCGCCTCTTCTCCAGCTGAGAGCGGAGTTGGAGCTCCCAAGGAAGAGGGGGTGGCCAAGCGGCCGCCAGCAAGCGAAAGGGAGGGCAGGGAGCCTCAAGGCGGTCATGGCTTTCTCAACAGGTCTACCCAACCGCCACCCGCGCCCTGGGCCTGGGGACATGCAGCGGAGTGGCCAGAGTTGGTGCCCTCATCACACCCTTCATCGCCCAGGTAAAGCAAGGATGCCTCCTAGCGGCAACTCAGGGCTTGGCCTTGACCCAGTCCTGTCCTGGGACATCCCAGTGAATCTGCAGACTTGTGAAGGGAAACTCTAGCAATGCAGTGGCAGGATCTTCATGCTAGCTTTGCTACAACCCTCTCGGTTCACGAGACGTTCTTTAAGCTTCTTCTCATTCCCCAATGTACTATGTTTCTGAAGACCCTTTCAACAACACAATTGTGAGGACATACACAAAGGGCTAAGTATCAGGAGGTTGCCTATCTTCTCAGTTCTTCAGCTATGAGGTGGGCAGTTCCCTGTAGCAACAGCAATAGCAGTTAGACTTATATACCGCTTCATAGCGCTTTCAGCCCTCTCTAAGCCATTTACAGAGTCAGCATATCGCCGCCAACAATCCGATAGATAGATAGACAGACAGAGATATAGAGATAGATAGATAGATAGATAGCAATAGCAATAGCAGTTAGACTTATATACTGCTTCATAGGGCTTTCAGCCCTCTCTAAGCCATTTACAGAGTCAGCATATCGCCGCCAACAATCCGATAGATAGATAGACAGACAGAGATATAGAGATAGATAGATAGATAGATAGCAATAGCA